ATAGTCCTTGGTTTTAGTCCTAGGTCCATGATCCACCTTGAGTTGGTTTTTGTGTATGGAGTGAGGTGTGGGTCTTGACAGCCTTTTTAACAAATGGTGTTGGCAAAATTGGAAAAATATCTGCAATCACTTGGAATTATCTCATTATCTCATTTATTAGTATTAGTTTAATCTACCTTACATCTCACTCACTCAGAAGACTCATTAGCATTTTGAAAGTTTACAGATAAGCACCCCTTTTTAGTCTAGTGGTCTGTCCCTCTGATGAGCACAGCACTGTAAGTCTTAGCTGGGGTACTTGAAAATGTCTTCAAAAGAATAAATTGATTTTTAAATGAGTGTCTGGTCTCTCTTTCAAGAACTCTCATCTGATAAGTGTTCCTTTGTTAGCCTCTGAGGAAGGGTGCACATGGAAGAAACCTTACTGTTTCTGTGTTGGTCAGACCTTGCCCTGGAGGTAAGGAGCTGAGTTCCGGCTCCTTCCTGCCCTTGGGTTTGCTACAGATGGTGATTTACAGAGCCTTCCCTTGGTGTTGCCATTATGGAAAGAATGTAACCTCCCAGATATAAAGACTTTTTTGTGTGTGTGTTTTGAATTCTCTTTAGTGCGTTTATCAAACTCTTTGCAAATTATAGAACCAGATTTTAGTAAGTTCATTAAAACCATAGGGACAGTCTTTGGGTATAATACTCAACTTGGAGGGAATTGAAGAGTATTCTATCAAGTGAAATCCATGTGTTTAGTCACTGTTTATGTTCTTGAAAAAGATATTTCCAATGACTAAAGCATTAGTCTTATATAATGATATTAAGCAATTTCCAGCACCATTTCTATCATCAAGACATATTAATAATTGCTGATCTTTTTTTGTTTTTAACTTCTGCAGTCAAACAGCAGTAAAAATTAGCGTACCTTGATTGCATATTCGATTTCAGATGGCAGAAGCTAGTGAAAAAAAAAATCTTAAGTTTATTTGTCTTTATATTTGTTGTAAATTTGAGTAATAGTCATGTTAGTGCTTTTCATTAATAGTAGTTGTATCTGTCTTAATGAAACTAGGAGCTAACTCCACTGATGACAGACAAATTGGAGTTGAAGCTGAAGAAAATGAAAATGACTCTGACAGAACCAGAGTGTGACTTTGATTATATTCCACCTGAATTTAGAGACAGTTTTCATAATAGCTTTAAGGCACTAGACACTGAAACCTGCTGAGTTGTGGATGACATCAAGGACACCTTCCATGAAGAAAGCAGAAGATCATTAAAAAGACAAGGAGGGGAGAAAAGGACCAAAATGGATGTCAGAGTCTCTTTGAAAGTTGCTCTTAAACATTCCATACATAGCTAAAGCAATGGAAGAAATGAAATAAAAATGCCAAACAGAACACACAAAGGACAGCTCAAAAAGACAAAGTAAAGTATCATAATAAAATGGACAAAGACTAGGAATTAGAAAATGAAAAGGGAAGAGCATGTTTAGCCTTTCTCAAGCTAAAACTGAAGAAAACAATTCAAGCCAGAAAAAATGTCTGTAGACACACAAAAAATTGTATGATGCAGTAAACATCAAAGGAAGGTGGAAGAAGTACACTGAGTTACACTTCCAAAAATAATTGGTTGATGTTCAGCCATTTCAGCAGGTATGATATGCTCAAGAACCAGTGGTACTGACAGACGTCCAAGTTGCCTTGAAATCACTGGTGAGAAGCATGACTTCTGGAATTACTGATAGAATACCAATGGAAATACTTCAGATGTGCAGCATTGGAAGCCACCACTTGTCTATGGAAAACAGATATCTGGCTAACTGGAAGTGATCCATATTTGTGCCCATGTCAAAGAAGGATGATCCAAAGGAATGTGGAAATTATTGAATAATCTCACTGATATAACGTGCAACTAGAGTTTTGCTGAAGAGACTTGAAAATCTATTGCAGCAATACATTGACAGAGAAGTGCCAGAAATTCAAGCTGGATTTATTTATAAGATGACTTGGAACAAGGGATATCATTGCTGATTTTAGATGGATCTTGGATGAAAGCAGCTAATTATTAGAAAGTTGTTTCCTTAATGTTTTACTGACTATGCAAAAGCATTCACCTGTGTGGATAACAAATTGGGGATGATGTTGCTAAGAATGAGTCTCTGAACGAACACTTTGTTGTGTTCATATTGAGCCTGTACATAGATCGAGAGACAGACATTTGAACAGAACAAGGGGATAGTGCGTGGTTTAAAATCAGGAAAGGTGTGTGTGCCTCAGTGTTGCATCCTTTCACTGTTACTCAGTCTGTATACTAAACAAACGATCTGAGAAGCTGCACTTTATGAAAAAGAATATGACATCAGGATTGAGGAAAATAAAATAATAATCTTATGATACGAAAGTGACACAGTCTACCTTGCTGAAAATGAGGGGGAAAAAATTAAGCTTTTACTGAAGATCAAAGACTAGTCTTCAGTGTGGATTACACCTCAACATTAAGAAAATAAAGATTCTTACAACTGGGGCTGTAACCAGTAACATGGTCACTTGTCACTTACTTACTGTCATTGATCACTATTTATAGCTGACCTTCCATCAGGTTTCTAAGACTTTGAATTGCCCTGCTGAGCCACTGGTGGATACAAATTGCCAGAGAGATGTGGTCTTTGGATTAAAGTGTTTTTAAAGCACACGTGTCACCTTAAGGGTCACACTATGATATTGTAAGTCACTTCATGTGTATGTAAAAGATGAACAATGTGAAAAAGGAAAATTGAAGAATTGATGAAAATGGAAAATATCATGGACTGCCAGGAGAATGACCAGATCTGTCTTGCAAGAAGTACAGCTAGAATGCTTTTTCAGCTCATCTGCATTGAACTTCTTGTTCGGGAGGACTTCCTGCAGAAGGAGATTTGCTGGCTTAGTTGTAATTGCATTGTCAATGCCAAGGCATGCAGTTCGAATCTACCAGCTGCTCCTTGGAAGAAAGATGTCTTCTCTCGTGATTTTACGGCCTCAGTAAACCTACTCTGGGTGAGCTATAGGTTGTTTCTGATTCAACAGCACCAAACAAGTCCCTGGAGAAAGGAGCTTACCCCCCGGTTCTTCTCCCCCAGAGTTGTTGATGGATTCAAACCATCATGGGTTAGCAGGGCACCTCCCTACAGACTGAGACACCAGAGCCCCTAATATAAAACAAAACTCGACAGAAGGAGTGACTGCCTATTTCTGGGTGGAAAACACAGAATGCATTCTACCTACATTAAAGTAGAAATGTATGTAGCTCGTTTCCATTAGCATCTCAATAGATTATTCTTCTGTTGTACTTAATAGTTGATATTGAAGCTCATTTGTATTATAAATGTGGAAAAGTAATGAAATATTTTAAAATAGGTTACAAAACTAAGACAGGCATATTATTAATATAACTGGGATGGGGGGAGACATAGTGATTAGGTCAGCATTGGGCTAGTAGAGGAAGACGAGAGCAGAGAATCCATAAAGAGATCTGAGTATGTGTGACCAGTCACTTGAAGTGGTGCTGAAAGCTGGATAGGATGACAGAAGAAAAATTGATGCTTTTGAACTGTGGTGTTGGAGGAGTACTGACTACCCAGTGGACTGCCAAAAGAACAAATAGATAGGTCTTGGAGAAGGTGCAGCCAGAGTGCTCCTTTGAGGAAAGGATTGTCTTGCATACTTGGAGCATGTTGCTAGGAGAGGCAATTTCTTGAAGACGGATGTCATGCTTAGAAGGGTGGAGGGATGGCAAAGGAGAAGGAGACCCTCAACCAGGTGGATTGACATGGCGGCTGTAGTAATCAAGTGTGTCAGAAGATTGTGAGGATGGCACAGGTTAGGACAAGGTTCAGATCTGTTGTTCATAGGGTTGCTGTGAGTTGTACTCGATGTGATGGCACCTAACAATAACTATGTCAGTGCACATAAGTGGCTTGTGATCTCATTTTTTAGAGATCCTTTGTAACAGCACCACTAGATGTACTTGGTGGGATAGTGGAGTGGCACCCCATTGAAGTAAGACTGAGGGGTTTTTATTTTATGAGTTGGCTTTTTTCACTAATTTTTTTATACTGTGTACGTTTCAGAGTTGGTGTGTCCAGACACTAAAAAAATTGCAGTAGAGGTAGATTATCTCTGATAAGCAAGATAAGCATGAACTTACTTTTGCTGATATGTGGTCAAGGGAAGCACAGAGATGGGGTGGAGTTGATGTGAAATTGCTCAGCACCGATTAGTAAACTAATCTGCCCTGCCTTGTGCTGTGGACTTTGTCCCTGTGAGACTGAATTTCAAGAGACCTTGACCCTGTTGGAAGGGACGGTGAGACTGAGAGAGAAGGATGAAGCCCTGACTACAAGTAGAATTAAGGATGTGACAAAAAAAAAGCAATGCAGCCTTGTTCACTAGGGATTAATAAGTAAGCCTTGATGAGATACTGACTGAGAGACTGAGGTAATGGGGTAGGTGTGTCCGAGGCAGTAAGGTTGGCTCAGGATAGCGCAGAGTTCAGAGCTGTTGTACAAAGGGTCGCTATGAGTCGCAAGCGACTCCACATAACCACCACCACCTTGCTTATTGAGTTCCTGGACTGGAGGTTCAGACCTACCAGAGGCACCTGGGAAGAAGCCTTGCCGTCTTCTTGCCATCGTGAAACCACAGCCTTAAAAACCCCTTGGAATCAGTTCTGTTCTGCAGCATTAGAGTCGCCATGAGTGGGAATCAACTTGACATCAGCTCATCTGGTTTTGTATAAATTTCACAGAATCGCTCAACACGTACAGCCTGAATAGTTTGTATTTTGCTCTGATTCTTTAAACTTTTCATTGCAGGTCAATTGTTCTGTTGAGCACAAGAGGAGAAATTAAACAGTTGAACATTTCATATTCACTAGTACCTCTGGGCTTAGCCAAACCGGCTCATCTTTATAACAAAGGTGGGTGTTTTGACCCAGGACGGGTTCCTCGCTGGTGGATCACATCATCCGGTGGATCCGCAGGAGGAGGCGAGGCAGTCTCCTCCCCTGAGATTTGTCATTGTCTGTATCCTATTAGAGCTTCAGTGAATGAGCTGAAAGATCAGCTCTGGAGAGTGCCCAACTGAAGGCTTTTGGGGGTCTGGAGGGAGGAAGAGGTGAAGGGAGAGGGAGAAAGTTCTTTAAAGACCAGCAATATAAGCATTTTTATTTTGGAATTTAGCTAAGAGACCATTCTCATGATCATGTTTTGCTGGAATGGATAGCGTTCAGATAATTTTAAAGTGAAAGGACAATGTTAGAGGAAGTGTGTTGAGATGTGGTTTGTTATTTGGTGGCAAGAGGTGGGTGGTAAGAGTTGATTTGTTGACGTAAGGAAGTGTAGTTGGGTTGTTGTTTTTTTTGTTCTGTTGTGTTTTATTTAAAAATAACTGTCTCTGCTTAGCTCACTTCGAGCATTTGTTTTCCTGGGACTCAGCAATAAACATTGAACTTTTTCCTCCCTTTTCTTTTCAGGGAGTACCGTATTTCTGGGATTCAGCGGAAACTTTAAACCTTCATGGACTAAGCTATATACCAATCCTGCTGGCCAGGGCCTTGGGCTGCTGGAACAGTTCTTACCTTTGCAGCTGAGTGAATACGGCTGTCAGGGAGTCACCGCCCCCCGCAGGCGAGACCTGGAACTGTTCAAACAAGCTTCAAAAGCACAATAGAGACTAGCTGTAACTTAAGTGCTGGGAGAGAAAAAAAATGTGAACTAACTTATTTAATTTATGGCATTTAAAATTGACACTGTTAACCCAATGGAACCATTTTCCTGTGTGATACAGTTGAGGGAGGGGTGAAAACAAAGCCAAGAGTTGAAAGTGATTGCTTGAATAGCAGCTCACGCACCTTGTCATTGTAAAGAATGCTAGAGAATTTACTTGTAAGGTGGTCTCTCTGGAGAAGGGGCCTTTCATTCTTACCCTTCCACCCATGTTTTGTAATGACCCTAAGTAGTATTTCCCCTTTTGTATCATGGGATGTGGTGGGTGGGGTGAGGTGCTTCTGAGAATCAGCCTGAGTTCCTTTGAGGACCTGCTGTTTTAGCACCTTGGATACTTGAAGCCTGACGCTCAGTGTTGTGGGGCACTTAACGTGGGTGACTGGTAAGTTCCGTGATGCCTTGGGCCCTGTTTCCGGGCAGCTCTTTTGGACTTTTATACAATACTGGATGACAAAGTTTCATGTGGAAACTCAGGCCCAGCTCATGCCCTTTTTTTTTGCCTGGACATGTGCTGTTTTTACTCGTTTATATATTAATGATTTCAAAAGTGTTCAACTTTCAGACAGCAAAGTATATTGGGACAAAAGGGCTCTTATAGATTAGAAACCCCATTAACCTTTGACTGTTGGACAAAAGGTGACTGGGCCGAGGTTTAAAGTTGTTGGGACCATTTCCCAGCTTTAAGCCTTTGCCTGTTCTGACTTTATTTGTGTTTAAAAGTCAGATCTGAGATGATGGTTAACTTTTTCTTTTTAAGATGCAGACCATTCTCCCTCAACTCTAACCTTGTGTCATTGTTACATTGCACAAAAGAAGTCTGTTCATGTCTCTCCTAAAGGTGGTTAGTTGGGTTTTTTAAATTTTATTTTTAAATATAGATTTTGTTCCTAAGTTTTTCTGATCACAGTCCTGCTAAAAAATTGCAGAAAACTTAGTGATACCCTAAACAACTTAACCCATGGGGAGAAATGAGAGAGTCTCGAAGGGCCAGACAGTGAGGTCTGGTGGTCTAGTGGGTAAGGAAGGTGTTGCTCTGCCAACCCAAAGGCAAGCAGTTTGAGTCTCCTAGCTGCTCCTCGGGAGAAAGTTGGGCAGTCTCTTCCTGTGTGATTTATAACCTCTGAAAACCCGCTGGATTGTGAGCTGAGTCACTTCTAGTTCACTGGCAAATAACAACAACAACATAATGTTGGAGGAGTGGGTCACTCTTAAATTAAAATTTTAGAGCTGATAAATAAAAGGCACCTTTCTGCCTATTTCCCCCTCCTGTTCTTCAATTGGATCCCCGATTCTCCTGCCTGTGAGGATGGCACATGGCAAAAGGATATGACTCCACAGCTGAGAAGTTGCCAATTCAAGAGAAGAGAAGCATCAAATGCCGTCATTTTTTCCGGAATCCATCATGCAAGCAGTGTGGTGTATAGACAGGTCAGGGAGATGTAGGACATGTTTTTTGGCTACCTTGGCAGTAAGTACAGACACATTCATTTTCCTCCACCAAAAGCAAAAGCTGACAGCTTCCTTTGGATCCAGGAGAAACTGCAGAGCAACTCTGTAACTTCTGTTCCTTACAGAATATGCTACCTCAATGCTCTACCGACAAACCTTTCTAACTGTGTGCTCATCCAGGGCACGGGTCTTAAGCAAAGTTGTTGAATTTTTTGTATATTTTTTTTGTATATCAATGACTGAGATCTCACCTATTAAATGTATTATTGGATCATGGTTCCTGAAGGTGATTAAAGTTTGTATGTGTGTGTATGTGTGTTTTATAACTTAAATATCTTAAGTGTGCATCTGTAGAGTTTGTTTCTTCAAAGATGTGGAGAGGCTATGTAAGTTCCGAGGCACTCCATTTTTCGGATTCATATACTAATTATCAGGACCTAAGTTAAAGAAATAAAAGTATGTGTGCATGTATTTTCTACATATGTGTGAACCTATTTCTTTTTTAATTGCATAGTCCAATTGCATAGAAATTATTGTCAGAAATGAGGATGGGAAACTGTTCACTAAGTAGATTTTGTAAAACCAAGCTTTGTGAGAAGAAGCAGTGTCTTCCCACATTCACTGAGTCTCAGCTTTGGCTGTTAATTTTTAATTACTTGAAAAGCTTTGAAAAATAGCGATGCCTGGTCCCCCACTGCAACACCCTCTCCTACCTTTTTAAGTGGTACAGCTTGGGCATGGGATTTTTATTTAATTTACATTTTCTGAGATAATTTTAGCATGGGACTTGAGTTTAGAGTCCCTGCACTGGCCTGTTGTTGTTGTTTGTATTATTCTGGGAGCTCTGGAGGCCAAGTGGATAAGGAATTATCAACCGAAAGGCAGGTGGTTCAAATCTAACTGCTGCTTCACAGAAGTTGGCCAGCTCCCTCCATGCATATACAGCCTCCATAAACCCTCTCGGGAGGGTCAGCCATGAGTGGATATCATATAACAACAACGTATTACTCAATGGTGAGGTATTACTCAATGGACAACATACTACTTTTATTACTTCCAGTCCTAAGCAAACATTTCACTCATGTCTTTAAAAAAAAAATTTTGTAGTAAAACGTAAAATTTGCCATCTTAACCATTTTAAGTGTATGATTCGATAACATTAGTTTACATTCACCATCTTGTATAGTCTTCACCATCTGTTTCTTTTTCCCCCCATCTGTTTATTAAATTTCTTCATTACTCCACACTCTATACCCTAAAGCAATAGCTCCCCATTCCTCTCACTTCTCAGCCCCTGGAAATCAGAAATAAACTTAATTCTCTCTGCATTTTCCTATCCTAGATATAACCAACCTACTTATCCTTTCGTGTTTGATGTATTTCCTCAGCATGTTTTCAAAGTTCTATCAATGCCTTAGCATGAATCAGAACTTCATTTCTCTTTATGACTGATCCCAAATGTCCTGCCATCGATTCTGACTAATGCTCTACTCTCTACCACGGCACCTTTTATGGCTGATAGTCTCATTTTAATAGAACTTTTTCGTACAGTTTTTAGGTCTTAATCCTCCCCAAAGCTAGAGTGGTCACATAAACTACATAAACCGGTATATACATTTCAGGCGCTTGAGAGCTAGCAGTCTTCTCAATTTCTGCTGAGAAAAATCTGCTAGAAGGTGATTTATACATTTGTAAGCATTTTCCACCAGGTGAGGCAATTGGTTGAGCGTCAGCAGTAAGGGCCGTCTACAAATCAGCCTGCTGATGAGAAACCCAGGGGCTCTCGTCTTTGCTGTGGGATTCCTGCCTCCACTGAGCCAACAGGCCATGCATTAACCCTGGAGGCTGGGCCAGGCCTGTGAGCAAAGGGACGCAGTATCATGCAATATGACTCCAGAGCAGCTGCTAAACTCCTGCTTAGTCACAGGGGGATTTATGGGTCCTCTGCTCCCTAACTGCATCAGAAAAGAATACATCCTCCTGCTATTAAGTGGATTAGTTTCTTTTTGGGAAGGATGGGCCGTTTAGGGGATGGGGGGGGACGAATAGAGGTTTGCATGCTCCAGACAACTAGGCTTTCATTCCTGATGAGATGAGATGAGGTCATGTACAAGGCGTCCAGCTGAAAGGCGTTTCAGATAGAGGAAGGCACTTAGTTATTTCAAGTGTGGTTGGTCGGATCGGATTTTCAGTTCCCGGCGGGTAAGTGTTTTGATTCCACAATGAGGAGGATTGCTGATTCTATCATGCAGAGGAGAGGTGACCCAGGATTCCTGTCTGGCTCTCAGCTACAGATTAAACCTGATATTTTCAGGAGGTAAAGACCTTGAATGGGTGCAGTTGAGGTGGGGAGTGCGTAACTGCCACTGATCAGCTTCACTTCTAAATCAGTCCGACACAAATGTAAGCACTGTTCTGGGCTGGAGGGAGGTTTCAAAATGACCAGGCAGGAAAAGCAAAGGGATCCTGAAGTCCCTCCGTCCTCTCACAGATAAATGCTCTGTACAGGATGGACCGACACTGTACACTGACTACAACAGTGACCTCAAGAATGGTGGGGTTTGTAAGGGGGCACAGGAAAAGGAGATATTCTTGATGTTCTTAGATTGCTATGAGCCATAGGTGATCACATATAATAACAATCAAACTTGGCTGGACCATGATACCTGGTATTGTGGTTATTTTGTAAATTATCCTGACTATTTGATAATAAATAAGTACATCACTGGACTTGTATCTGGAAGGTCAGCAGTTTGAATCCACCAACTAATCCACCGGGAGAAAGTTGAGTCAGTCTTGGCATAGAAAGATTTCACAGCCTGAGAATCCCCACGGAGGGTCATAGTCCCCCAGAAAGCCGTGGGCTTGGTTTGAGCTTTGTATGTTAATGAGGTAGGGATACCCTTGGGAGAGTCACACCTTTTACAAGAGATGAAGAGAGAAGCTAGCAGAGAAAACAGGGGCCTTTCTATTACCAATAAGTCCACTTCACAGTGTTCTATATCCTATTTTAGTGAATCAAGACTGGGATCTCATTTGCAAGCAGTTATCTAAAGTGTAACTTTGGGCTTCAATGTCCCACGTGATTTACAGCCTTAGAAACCCAGTGGAGGGTCAGCTATGGGTTGATTCTATCTTCTGCAGCACTGGTAGATTCAAGCTGCCAGAGAGATGCCTCCTCAGGTAAATAAACAGCACTGCTCTCTACCTCTAGGCCAAGCCTCTTATTTCTCACCTCTCTTCCTCTAATGGAACTCTGCTAGTGGGTAGGGAGCGTGCTGCCAACCCAAAGTCAGGCGGTTCAAATTCACCAGCTGCTCCGTGGGAGAATGATGGTTAATCTCCTGGATTGTCTTCAGTCTTTGAAGACCCACAGGAGGATCACATTTAAGTCAATTTTTAATTGATGGCAACAAGTTATTGCGAGGTGCTTCCCTTGAATAAAGGTGGCACAGTGGTTAAAGTGCTTTGCTGTGATCCCAAAGGTCAGCTGAT